GGATATTTTTTCAATCAAAAATTATTAAGTTTACGTGAAAAAAGTATTTATATAGTTTATGGTTTAGAAGTTGACAAAATATCTTAATTTTCTTAAGGATAATTCTGACCATATATATTTTGCTTTTGTAATAATAAATTGGAAAAATACACCAAATCCCCCTTAAACTTGACACGAAAATTCGCTTTAGTACTTAAATTACACGGGCGTTTAAATATCATCTCTATCATCTTTGAAGTGATTTTTTTACACACTGAGACTGTAACACCACTCTCACCCGCCACATCATATCCACGTAAGCGCCACATCATAACCATGTAGGTATCACATCATTAATTTTTAGTTCTTTTTTACTTATTCATTATTTTCTATTAAACACTTTTAATATTAATTATATCAAATAATTAATTTATAAATGCATACCCCCACCCCCTATCTTTCATCTTCCTTGTTCTTCACCATTTCAACCTACAACACTTACTTTTCTTCTATACTATTCAACAATTTATTTAAATAACTAGAATGAAATTATTCACTATAATATTCACATTATCTTCTTCGAATCCACCCCACACATTTACCCTTTTGGAGGAAGATTTTTTTTTTAAAAGCCAAGGTTTTATTGTCAATTCAAATAGGTAATGAAGATTACATAAGTAAGTTGATAAAAAAATATAAATTCTATGAGAAATATTTGAATAGGTCTAGAAATCAAAAAGGGTCACTCAAAATTAAGAGAGTTTACATTTACAAAATCGACACCAATAATATAGAGCGAAATCAACGTGAATAAAATAACTTTGATATTGAATTTTACGAATTAGTAAAGGATTAATAAAATAAAAATAGTTTTTTTTAAGTGGGAGGAATATGGAGGAGAAAAAAAGTGTATTGGGGAAGACAACAAAATGAAAAGAAAAAAAATAAAGAAATTAAAAAGGGATCCACTAATTCTATATTTTTAGAGAGTTAATATATCAAGAAAAAGCATTTAAAATATTAATTATATATTGACCAATAAAAAAAGGCTAAGTGTAGAATTTCAAAAAATTCTAAATTCTTTTTTCTTCTTTCATGCGCTTTAAGGAGAGTACACCCACTCTTCCTGCCTCGTCATCCCTAAGGGGGTGTTTAAATCACTTCAAAGATGATAAGGGGATGATTTAAACGTGCGTATAATTTAAGTACTAAAGCGAATTTTCATGCCAAGTTCAAAGAAAATTTGATATATTTTCCCTAATAAATTTGACCCTAACTAGTAATATAGAGCATAGCAGAATCATTTTGCACATAATTTGAGATCAACTATGCATAAGTTGGATTATTAGGTTTGGTTTTTTTCTTTCCTTTTTTCTAGGGTACAAAAGGTTAAATTAGCTTTGAACTATGTGAAATATGACGAAAGCTTCGCACATTATGATATCACGTATCTCACAATTAAGGATTTTTTTTAAAATGAAGTATAAATTTGAAATCACATCATTATTTTCGCCGTTAATCACTCTTTCTTCCTCTTTAACCTTGTATAATTGAACTAATATTTTATGTTCATATATATTCAAGTTGTTTAGAGTGTTTCTATTGATGATAAAGATGGTGGTGGAGCAATAAAGAGAGAAAAGTGAAAGGTTCAGGAAAGAGATGATAATATATAGTAAATGCGATATTGACAATGATAATAATAGCAAGGAGAGTGAAAGGTGGAACTAATTTTTTTTTTATAAAAGAACTCAAAATTAGAAAAAGAAGAGCTAAATTTGTCTTTGAACTAAGTGAATGTTCAAATTTGCCTCTAGCTAGATTATAAGAAAGGTTCAAATTTTTTTCTTTGTTTTTTTTTAAAGAAAAAAAGATAAGTATCAAAAACATATTTAGATTTAACGTGAATTATTAGGTTTATTTTTGAACGATTGACAGCCTTTAAACTTCTCATTTACTTGACCAACTCAACATAAATATACACTGATCATGCAACATGACTGAAATATACTCTTAAATTCTCGTGAAGTTTAGAAGTGTTTCAACATTTCTCCTGACTTTTTATCAAGCGTCACATGCTCCAATTAGGGGCAGCTCAACAGATTTGGATGCCTAAAGCGAAATTTTAATTAGAAGTCTAAATTTTTTTAAATGAGGCAATTATTATATTAATTGTTAACATTATTCTATAAGTAAATATCAAGGAACACCCCACCCCTCATATTCCACGAGAGGTGGAGACCTGGAGGGTCGAAAATATTTCACCGCACCACACGATTCTTTCGCGAAACGCTCTTCCCACTCTTGTCCTCGTAAGCAAAGAGGTTTCAAGATAGTAGGGGACCGAAAGCTCTGAGCAAATATTCTAGAGAGCGTGCCCTTAGTTTCGAGTCTTTTTCTATTCTAAAACGAAAAATTAAAAAAGAAAAAGAAGCCAATTTTTTTCTATGGACCCCTTTTAGCAGATTACTTTACTGACCGTAACTCATTCAAAAAGAGTAAATGAACTTAAGTTTGATAAAATTGCTTATAAACCTTTTTGATTTAGAAACACCGAGAAAGGTCAATCTAGACAGACAATTCATTTTATTTAACACATTTTACTATTAATTTATATTTTTGACAGAGTATTATCGTAACTTAACATAGAGTAGTATAAAGGAGGTTTAAAATATAATAATGTGAATTTTAGCAAAAAAAAAATAAAATGTAAAAAGACAAACAACGCTTTCTTGACTTCTTCAATTTGATTGAGGTTAAGGAGACTAAATAATTTTTTAATATATAAAATAATACATTTATCATAAATAATTATTTTTTCTATAAAAAATTAACACTTAATTTATTTTTGATAAAAAATTGAGGCCCCCTAAAATTGGGGGCCCAAGGCATGTGCCTTACATTTATAAGCATTGAGCCAGCACTGGCTTTATAAAAGCTTGAGATCATATATTATGTCATGTGGCGAAATCAAAGTATATCGGAGGATACTTAAGTTTAATTAGTTAAATAGAATGAGTATTTTTAAAATTGTCAATAATTTATAAATGAAATTAATAATTCAAATCAAATTTATGAGTGTTTTCGATACGTTTTTTTTAGAAAATTAATCTTTAACTATGAACACATGACATCACTGAATGCTAAACTAATATCATATAAAAATAAAATCAAACTTAGCTTGTTTTAATAATGGCAAAGAGTTATCTGACTCAAACTATTAATCGAGGATAAATCTATTCCATTTCACACGATCCAATAGTAAATTTAAGTTTTTTTTACCTTTTCACTAGAAGGAATATTTTTGGTTTATGTTGCTTGAAATAAAGACCATCTACAAGGTATTAGGACGACGTTTGAACTGACTTAAAAGTTAATCAAATTTATTTATAAATTAATTTTTAATTTTAAAAAATGTATGACAAATATAGAAAGTAACTTAAAACAAATTAGGAAATATTTGGCGAAATAACTTAAAATAAGTTCAAAACTAAAAATTACTTCCTCCGTTTCAAAAAGATTGGTCTAGTTTGGCTTAGAACGGAGTTTAAGAAAAGAAAAAAGACTTTTTAATCTTGTGATTCTAATTTAAAATTATGTTAAGTGTATCAAAGTATCATTTAATCTTGCGATCTTAAACATGTCACGTGGAAAGTTAAAATTAAAATATTGTCAAAAAAATAAAAGAGTCATTATTTTTGAAACAAACTAAAAAGAAAATAAAGTTATTTTTTATACGAAAAGAGTGAATCTCTTTTTACTTTTTTATTTTTAATTTAAAAATTATTTTAATTTTAATTTTTTATTTTTAATTTAAAAATTACTTTTTTAAATCTATCCAAACGATATTTAACAAGCAAGGCACTCAAATGACAATTGGAATCCTACAAAATTTTCTTTTGACTGTCAAAAAAACAGTTGGTATATTTTTTGGATTATTATCAATTCTAGTCAACTTCAACCAAAAAATACATCTGTCAGTCTATTCAAAGGTCAACAAATTGTTGAGGATAAAGACAATACTATTTTTTATATCATCATGATGTAAGCATTACGTGTGAAAAAAAAATAGACTACCAATTGTTTCACCGAATAAAAACAACTTTTAGCGGCATTAAATATTGATAATAATAAAGAGTACTAAATTTTTTACCGATATTAGTTAAGTGTCATTAACACCAGTGTCGCTAAAAGCTTAGGAACATATACAAAAAGTATCAATTACTACTAAAAATACATGTTTAGCGGTAATAATGAATTAATTACAGCTAATAATTATTTTTGTTGTAGTGAAACGAAGTTGACCATTGTTCTTAAAATTAAAAAAAATAAATTACATTAATCAATGTAATTTGTTAGTTAAATTATTTACTTATATTAGTTTATTTATTGTAAGTCAAAATGCCTACTGAATAATCAATGTTGATGTGTAATATAAAAAGTTGTTGGATAACCAGTGTTGATGTGTTAAATTAAAATGCATATTTGTGTATTATGTCTAAGTTAAATTTATATATCTCGAGGTCAAGTTCAGGTATACATGAAAACTCAGACATGTTGACCAATCATTAGTTGATCATATTTTTATTCATGGGAGTTGATTGAGATCTTTTAGTTAGGATTGTAAATTGAATCTCTTTAATTTCTTCGTATTTATTTATTTATCACCACTTATAAGTAATAAAATCTTATAATTGTATAAAGTCAGAGATAGTATTTTTTTCCACAAGCCATGCAAGTCAACATATTGTTGATTGCAGGTCTCATTTTCTAAAAATCCAATTAAAAGTAAACTTAAACTAGAAGCAAGTCAACCTCATTTGCTCCCCTAGTTCTTTATGGACCCTTTTAGGCTATTAATGAGGTCAATGAAAATGCCAAAGTAATAACTAACAAGATCAATTTAAAAAGTTAGTAGATTTCAATAAATAGTTACATAAATGCTAACATTGTGCAAATGATAGTGTCACAATTCTACTAGGTAGTTTCATTTAAGACATGTGTCAGATTCTTCAAAAAAAGTCTCTCCGAAGACATTTGATAAAATTGGAACGATACAGAGAAGATTATCATGGACCCCGGTGCAAAGATGACAAGCACAAATTGAGAAATGGTCCAGATTTTTCAAAAATATTACATTTTCGAAAGATTCAATATAGATGTGGCTACATTTTAAGAAATTTCGAGCTGTATATAATAACATACTCGATGTAATTGAAGAGAGTGATATACGCAACCTTACCCCTGTCTTTGAGAAAGAAGAAAGGTTGTTTAAGATAGTAAATCGTCTAAAAAGACAAGTATTGGTAGAGAACACAACAATGAAGAAATCAAAAGGAGAAAAAGAACAATGGCAACAAAGAGAAACTTCCAATTTTTTTGGCTAAATTTCTTTGATAAAGAATTGAGTCCAATTCATAATGTCCTAAACAATATGAAATACTTGAAATGGAAAAGCAAATCTTCTATGAAGATCAATAATAACTTATTCTATAACATGACTCAAATAAACCATGTAAAAGAATTACCCCTAATATTCAAGCTCTAAAACATGTAAACTAAATCTTGAATTTCCATATTTCATCATAGAAAACTAGTCCCTGAGTGATTATGATGTAATAGTTTGTGAGCAATCTGATCTCTTACTTTCATCGCGTTCATTGATCTCACAACAACTTCCGGGATCATTTCATCATCAACCAAATCGAACCTTAATTCTTGACGTAATTCTTCACCTCTAATCTCACAGATATTGTGAAGTGTACAACAAGCTCCAAGAACAACAGGCAAATCTTGAAGTTTCACTTCTGTTCTTTTCTTTAAACAACTCCATCTTGCTTTCAATCTCATAAACGCTTCTTTGGCAACTCTTTGAACATCATTCACTTTCTCATTAAAAGCATGTTGTGTCCATGTAACATTCTGATGAGTAAACGGAACTAAAATCCAATCCGTTAATGGAAATCCTGAACTCCCAACAATGTAAGTACCATTCAAGTTTCCTCTGTTTGCTCTTTCATAAAGTATCGATTTTTCCAAGACTTGATCATCTGTCATCGAACCAGGCCATCCTATACAAACATCTGTGAAAATCCCCTTTGGATCAACAACCCCTTGTACTGTAACGGAGTAAGATGTCTTCTGATTCCTCTCAGTATGCCTTTTGTTGAAGTAACTCGCGACACTTTCCTTAGGCGCGATAATTGGTACATGTGTCGTGTACATTGATCCACCTACATTTTCTATCCCGGAAAGGATTTCAAACTCGTGTTTAATTTCCTCCATCTTAAGTTCATCAGGCCATTGTATGAATTTCGCCATTAACACCCCTCTTATAGCTGTGCATACCTCGAGCACGAGCTTATGACAAGTAGATATACCTAACCCAAATCGCCTAGACACTTCTCGGAGTGGCTCTCCTGTAGCCAATCTCCAAATGCATACAGCTACACGTTGACGAACAGGTATCGCCATACGTAACATCGTGTCCTTTTTTGTCACTACTGATTCTATTTCAGAACATATAAAATCAAACGTAGCTTTGCCCATATGAAATGCTTTCTTAAATTCCTCTTCAGGGAAATCAGGACGGTTACATTGCTCCCACCACGCATTTGATCTGTTTTTCACCCATAACCTCCTCTGCTGTAATGGCTGCTGAGAATAACCAGAACCAGAGCCAGAACCAGAGATAACCTCAACTAGACCATCTTCATTCTCATTGGCATTTTCACGAACACGTTTAGTGCCAGAGACAACACCATGATCAAAATCAAATTTTTGGTTCTTGTAATCAAAAAGGGTGTGATTTTCAACTGATTTTGATTCTGGGTGCGTTTCGTTTTCGACACCCAGAAATTTATTTAGGATTTCCTCAACTGGGTTGTGATCAAAATCGTTAATTTTTATCTTTTTCGACATGGATTGATGATGATGATGATCAGAAGATGGAGAAAGAAAGTCGAGTTCTTGAAAAAAGTTTAGAGAATTGAAATCTTCTTGTGATGGAAATGAAGAAGAAAAAGAAGTGATTTCCATTCAAATAATGAAGCTTTTTTTTCTTAATTCTTTTAATCTTTTTCCAGGTGTGAAAGTATTTGAAGATTTTGTCAAATATGAAACAAAGAAAAGTGTGTGAACACACAAGAAGTAATGAATTGAAGAAAATTAAAAATGGAGTTTTTGAATATATAGAGAATTTTAATGCACGCGGTGAAAGGTGGGGGTGGGTGGGGTGGGGTGGGGGTTTTGTTGAGGGTGGTGTGGGGTGGGGGGCCAGGGGACGATGCGGGAGGGACATAGGGAGGGGGGGGGAGGGGGCCAGGGAGGACGGGGGGTGGCGGGTGTTGTATGGTGGGAAGGGGGGAGGGGCTGCCGAAACCGGATGAAGGGCATGAGAGCATAATCAGTGGAGAGGTAAGATGGTATTAGCGTTAGAGACGTTTTGTGTGCGTTACGGGGATTGTTAGGAGTTACTGGAAATCATAATAAGCCAAGATCTAATTTAAACTTAGACACTGGCCTCGAACAGTTAGAAGATATAGATATGGAACTATGCCCTAAAACAATGTGTGTCCCCAACGCCCAACATTGTGCACTACAACCTTACAATACCCTCAACATAGAACTTCATACGCGACTCATAAATCAGAAGCAACTGAAACACACATGACGAGATGCCCGTGGACGCACACATCAATACTACGCTTGCCAATACGATTAATGTCAGATGTGTACGTATGGACACTCTTGAAATTTCCCAATGAGTCTATTTTTCGTTTTCTGACCCTTA